CATTTCCCACAAACCCTTTCCATTATCTATAGAACAGGACTACAGCCCCAAAAAAATTGATCTGAGACTATTTTTACGCTTGTCCAAGGGCTTGGCATGGAAATAATGCATGTTGACAGCAGGGCACTGCTTACTGCTGAGCAATGCTTAATATAAATATGCTGCACCTTGTTCTTGCAGCTGCTAATGAGCTCTGTGTTAATATCTAGTTCATGGGAGCTTGTCGTTAGCAGCACTTCAGAGACACTGCACATGTCATGGTGTGTTTTTCAGATTCACAACTCTGCACTCTTGCTGTTCAAGTCACAATCATCCTTCTGAGGCAGACAGATGGTATCAAAATGTGATAATGTATACAAAATGTATAAAATGTCATATGCTTCATTGTGGATCTGATTGCAGATTATAAATCATAATATTGTATTGCTTGCTATTAACTGTTATTTTAGACAACTATATCAGTTACTGTCTTTTATGAAATTGAGGAATAATTTTACTTAAAGAACTTTCAACTTACTTCAACATTACCTTTCAAACTACTGAAGAAGTGAATTTTTAGTAGGGCACATAGAAACCTAGGGATATTTGGCATGAAAAAAAATCATCTGCAAATTTTTGTTTTTTCTATTTTTCTATTTTTTTGTCATTATTGAAAAATTGCAGTTATTGAAACTGTCTTCGGCCTTCACAATAATCAGGTTAACAACGATAGCAGCGCATTTGGTGGATTACACAGTTGCTACTCTCCAACTTTTGAGGGGAGAAAATACATGTGTGACAACTAAGATTTTTGCATGTTTTGTTGAGTATTTTGTGAGTTTAGAACTTTTGCAGTAAGGCTGCAGACATTAAAAACGCTACTGACGCATACATTGTACACATATTATAACACATTTAAAAAAGTAAACTCATCCTCACTTCTTAATTCCTATATGTCAACTCAGAATCTCCTTCATTCCAAAGCAATGAATAATTTAAGACGTCCTATATTCGCTGTTTTCCAAATGTAAACACAGAATAAACAAGCCGGTCTCAGGAAGCTATTATGTTCAAAATGTCATCTGGCGGTTGCTAAATCCCTTTGGGACCAAACAGCAATCCCTCAGGTGCCAGCAGACTGGTTGACATAAAAAAGGGGCGATATCCCTCGACTGTTTGCTGTGCTAGGTTTGTCCTTGAAGACTAAAGCTTTTCCTCACATGTGGAGTTTTTTGCATAGAAAAAAGTGGCGGTAAATGAAATGTGGGGCTGTATGTGAGGGCCCAGTCGCATCTGGATATCTAAACAATGGTGTGAATGCCACTCAAGCTGAGCGATGGCGAAAAGCAAGGTCAGTTCAATGAGAGAAGGAGACTGTTTCAGAGTCTGTGTAACCGTAGCTTAACCACACGAATCTCTGTCAAGCGGGTCAATCCTTTCTGTAACATTAGCCCTCACCATCTTCCAGACAAGGGCGTAGTTTCAGTCTGTTCTGACATAATATCAAAGCTATTTAAAGAAAAGATAAATGTCTGTGTATGAGTGTGCAATCAACACTGAGCTAATTGGAGAAAAAAGCATTTGCAAACTTGCTTCTAAAGTTACAATCAGTTTCAAAAGATGGCGTTTATTAATAATGGGATCTAGATGTAGCATCACCCCCCCATTTCAATCAAAACTACCATATAATGTGCTTTTAACTTCAAATGTTAGAGTAACCATTTCATACATTTTAATTTGGAGTATTTTTCTTTCCCGCTGATAAGGGTACAAATACCAGAAAATCTTTTAAAATGGGAATGTAATGAGTCAAATAATTATCAAAATCATCAAGCTATAACTAGCTCCTAGGTCTTGTTAGATCTGATCCTGCTTAGATAATGAAAACACGATTCCTATCTTGAAAGTCACACTTAGCAAATTTGCTTGAGCACAGAGCATGAAAAATTCCTGTAAGATGCTTTACTGCAAAAGCGTCTCAAAGGGAAGACCTTTTGGTCCTTGTTCATTCATTTAGTGGTGCATAGGCAAATTATTTATTCCATCTTTGGCAAATATAGTCTCACTTGTTTTTCTAGGCACTCTTGAAAAAGTAAATTAAGTATGTTTCAGCAGCTAAAACTAACTTCTTAATCTTGCAGTCTGTTCGGCTGGGGTATAAACAGATGTAAGTGCTTCCTAAATAGGAAGCAAAGAGAAGGACAGAGTAATGAATATGACAGCCATGTCTGCTCGAGCGTAACAGTGATTAATTAACTGAGGTACTAAGCTTCTTGGTGATTAGCACCATTTCTTATCCAGGGGAGAGATTAGGGTGGCCTGGCTGGGCTTTTGTTGTGGACAGAATTGGTATTCAAACTCAAAGGCTCTCTTTACATTCAAACATTCACAAGCTGACTTCCCATTTTACACTCGGTCTAATGACTGAAAGCTGAGCGGTGATCCATACTGCTGCCACCAGTACCTACTGTTTTACACTGTTTCACTGCTTCAACTCACATACACATATACACCATACACAATGCTAATGTGGTGGTATGATGATGCATTTTTCAAATACTTCACGCTGACTGGCCTTGTGCGTCTGATGCATGAAAATGAGACTTGCCTCCTTTGACCAATCAGACACCTCACACCCCAAACCTTTGGGTCCCATTGGATTAAATGTGGTGGTAAGACAATGCCGCTGTATTGATTGTGCCTGGCTGAGACTCCTCTGAGGAATAAAGGAGTAGAAAACAAACACAAAAGCATGCACACACACACAGACTGCCATCTGTCATGGCTGTCGACAGCCCGGCCACCATCTTCCTCTGTAAATGGGGCAAAACACACAAAATAATAGACTGAGGGTGAAAGAGAGAGGCGAGGAGGGAACATTTCGCCCAGGGAGCTGATATAAGCCAATAGATCATTTTGTCTTTGCCTGTGCCGCAATCTTTTCACTAGATTCTCTACGGTGCCTACGGCTCCCAGGTAGGACAGCTTTTTAAGGTGTTGGTTGTCCATCAACTCCTGAATGCCATTACATGTGTGCCAGCTGGTGAGGAAGGTGGCGCCTGCTTTTAATTAAATCCAGGATATGTGGAGGAGAAGATGGCATGCTTACAGAGCGAGTATCATTAATAGTTGGGGACATATC